TATTTCCCTTGACTTTCCTCCTGTCCCACTATCATGCTCAGTCCCCACCAGGGTTTCTGCAATTCCTCTTTGTTACATTCCCCTTGATCATGCTCTACCAGGCCTCCCACACCCACGTCACCACCAATTTGGATCACTTGTTGTTCCTTTGTCCCTGGGTTTGTTAACACCACTTCCTTTCCCCCCATCTCCCCCTCTCCCATGTCCCCCGGAACTGTCAGTCCTGTTGTTTTCTCCTCCAGATTGTTCATCCAGCTTAGAACAACTTGTTTCCTACTTTCCCCATCTAGTCCTTTCCATCCAAGGAAGAGACTTCCCAGTGAGCTCTTGTTAGGGTTAGGTGCCATGGGGTCCATTTCAACTCATAGCAAGCAATACAACTGCCTCCTAGAGTTTCCTTGGCTGTACCCCTAATGGGAGCACATTGCCAGATCTTTTCTCAACCACTGACCCTTAGCAGCTGACCATTTAACTGTTCGTGCCACCAGAGCTCTGCTGTTGGTGAAATCTCTGGGAAGACTGGCTTCTGATTCCATAATCCCACATCTCTTCTCTTTGGATGCTGAATGCTCGCGTGGCCGTCCTTTTGGCCTGACGTCCACAGTTTCCTTTTCCCCAGCAGAAAGTGCCCGCTGATCACCACTGAGCACAAATGTGTTCTGACCATGGCTGTTCGACAGTGGCTGCCCTCTGCAGCAGGGACAGACTTCTTCACTGGCTTCCTCTCACACTTGGCTTTTTATTAACATTTTAAAACAGAAAACTCAACAGGTCATTTGAACGAGGGGTTTTATCAGAGTTTAATGATAACATGTAAATGCTGTTTAAATTATTTTAAATCAAAGTCTTTTTTTTACAATATGAAACCCTTTCAAATAAAGCCATCTTGCACATATTCGTTACATACAAGTTAAACACAAATACAGACATCTGTAAATCATGGTCAAAACTTTTAATTATAGAATGCTCTAGTGATCTGTGGATAGCCACATATGCAGCTTTTAAGGAAATAGCATCTTGTCCTGTCAATGCCCAGAAAATTCATGATAAATGAATGGAAACTTTTCAGTCCTTTGCTTAGCACTAATAACAGTTTTAGCCCAGGAAATCACAAAATGCTTAATTCTGTAGTAAGATAATGCTGCCTTTTTTGATAAAGGCAACCCACCGATTGTTTGTAAAGTTTTTAAGTTACCCATTTTTTCTGGTGAAGTTATTAGGCCAACATGCACCTTGTTTGGGAGGTTCTGAAAGCGTTCGTGGAGCTCAGCTCCAGCCCACTTCACATTTCCGATGTGTTGTGTTGTGTGCTGCTGTCCCTCTGAACCCTCACTGACCGAGCATGTGGTCTCACCAGGACCTCCAGTTCTCACTTCTACGGCCACACATTTTCCCTTCTCTTTTTCCAGTACTTCCACTTTTTTTCTTCTGATTAAAAAGATCTCCAAGAAACACATTTTGTTTTTTACAGTTACTTCTCTAAGCTAAAGGCTATTTACTGTTACCGATATATTATCCATTTGCAACCTGTGGTCAGCCTAAAACAGGAAGCCTGGTGGCCCCCCTGCTCTCCGCCCTGCCCCACTCGGTCTCGATAAGCGGAGTAGACCAGGAGTTCTTTGGGTTGAGACTATCCTGTGCTTTCATTCATACGACTGAAGCTTTGTCTTCCGAATGGTACCGAGTGATTTAGACTGATCTCTTTTACAAGGTGTTTTACCAGTAAGACGTCATCTGGTGGGTCCTTGCCAGGAAGTGCTTTTCCTGTCAGGGACAGAGTGGGAGATCGCTGTCACTGAGCATGTGGCTTTGCACGCTTCACTCTAAGTTTAATTTTCTGTGTTTTAGTCAGGATTCTGGCCTTATTTTCTCTTTTGCATTAAAGAAGTTTAAAAAGGTCAAAACTGCCATCCCATTTCCAGTCATCTGTGCTAGAACACGGCCAGAACCCAGACTCAGGACATTTGCCCTCAGATCAGCATGGGGTGCCCTGGTTTTCAGTGAGGACAGCTACTGTTGAATTTCTGACTCTCATTCTTACTCCTTGAGCACCGTGTCCCTAATATTGTGCTTGTGTTTTTAGTACTTGTGTGTGTTGAAGTAAATATTGGAGCTCATAGATGTGATTGCAGTTTAAGCACTCTAGACCTGAGCACAGAAAGCAGCAGGCCCCGCTCCACTCACCGTGGGGAGAGGTGCCCAGAGGGCATTAAGAGAGGATCAAGTGAGGAAGTGGCCCCTGGGTGACCACAGCCGCAGCCAGACTCCCTGAAGCCTGGAAAATTGCTACAAGCAACCCAAAGGACTCCCGAGGACACACCATTCCTCTTCTCATAAGAAAGCACTTGCCGTCCAGAGCACTAATTCATTGATTTCACTTTCGTGTGTAATAATAGCTCCTATGTTCTTCTTTCTGGCTTCCCAGATAAGATCTCTGACCTTCAAATGACCATTTTCTTCAGGAAGAATCCATTTACTTCTGGGTCTTATTTTATTATTCTTCACTTAACTTTCTCGGGCATTCCATCAGCAGACTAGTCCTAATAGCGCCATGGTCTTCATATGTCAAATGAATAATAGGAAACTAGTTTTCCCAAAGAAAAACAATTCACTGACGTATCCACTGTAGTAAATGAAAACCTTCAAAGCTTATACTCTATTTAGGATTAGTGAATGCCAATTCAAAAACCGTATTGTAGTTCTTGGTCTGTCTTACCTGTCCTAAATAATCATAGTTGGAATGGGCTCCACTCGGACGTGGCACCGACTGAGTTGAAGTGGAGTCTCCTCAATGGCAGTGGGTTTGAGTTTTTTGTGGTTGTTTGTCTTTTATGACATTATGGGAAAAGATTTGCCACATCGTAACTACTCATACCCATAAGTTTGCAATGTAATCATTTTCCTCTGCAGAGAGCAGGAGTGATAAGTGAGCATTGTTAACTCCAGAATGCTCCTTGAAATGTTATTCCACTCCAGATGGAAATAACTGTTTGGGAGTGCCACTAAGGTAGAATCTGTATTTACTTTTTCATATTGTGTATTCATTTTTCCCTGCAAAATGAATGCCCTCGATGAGTGCTGTTACCTCCTTTAGTTGTCGTGGTAACCCTATAGAACAAGTACCCGTATTATCAACTGGTTTCATAAATAAGAAGACTGAGGCTCACAGTGTTCTTGCCAAAAGTCACAGCCAGTAAGTGATAAAACTGGAGTTTAGTCAATGATAGTCTGACTTCAGAACTTTGTAGTCTAAAAGCTTATGTATATCCACCCTTCGGTGAATACCATATTGAATCTTGTGTTTTGTCCCATCTTACTTGCATTACCGCACCAGATTAAGGGCATTGTGTCAGAAGTTTATCCTGCAAGAGATTTTTTTAAAGATAAATAATTTATATTAATAATTGCATAATTTTGACTCTCACCATTGCCAAGAATGGCCTGACTTCCACACATATTTCACATCTGTTGTCTAGGCTGTAGTCAGCATCCTTATTCCACCTTCTCTATGGCTGCACCAATGTGTCCTCAACCAGTGGGACTGTGGGACTGTAAGTGTAGCTGCAACAGTACATTGAAGGGCGTTTTTAAATATTAGTGGTAAGATTGACCAACTCATTTTAAAGAAGCATCAACACAGAGAAATGAAAGAAAGTTCGCCAGATTTCACTTTTTCCCATGTTGACCTGTAAAAAAAAAATTGCTTTCACCCTTTGGTCTCAGAAGGAAATTGACAGTGGTTATTTTCTGCTTCTTCTGAGACCCCCCCTTCTAAACTGGAGAGCAGCCTCCAGGAGTGCCAGCAGGGAGGTGGGCTGTTTGCATATCCATTAAGTGCCTTTCCCTCCCCTTCTGGATTTCAGGTGTCAGAAACTATTTGAAAGAAGCATTGGTGAATATAATTGCTGTGCATGCAGAGGTAAGCTATCATTAGATGTTCCTGAGAGATATGGGTAACTGAAAAGAGAGAAGCAAATCTGATGATTTTTATGATGATCTTTTGTCCCTTTCAACTATATCTTGGATTTAAGCACTACGTAATTCTCTTGCCCTGTGTGCAAGGTTTGCTTCTGTTTTACTTTGGTTTTACAACTAAAAGAATATTTTTCTGAAATTGTTTTTCCCATAATGAAAAGTAGTTTATGAACACTTTAAAGGCAAAGAGAAGAGATATTGAGATTTTTTTTTCTTTAAAGAATGTTAATCTTATCTTGAAAAATCAGTTAACCCCTTTTTAGCCAGTATACAAATCAGCATTGTAGTGATGTGGTCTCATGTTTGGGGTTTCAGAAATATAGAAGTTCGTTAGAAAGCTAAATTCAAAAGAGGAGGCTGAAGTCAAGAAGCCAACATATAATTTCCTAGCAGTGATGACTTAGGTGTGTATACATGTGGATGGTTCTAGTTCACATTAAAACTTGCCCTCACTTGAAGGATTCTCATCAGATTCAGACTAACATCCTTAGTTCGCATCCTTGTCAGGAGGACTTTTCTTGGGAACATCAAAAGAAGACACCACAGCTACCACTATGAGCACTGCTATGACTGTCTGCTGTCGTTCGGTCATTTTGCGACTCATTACTCACTGCTTTGCTTTAAGGGTCGTTCTTGCTCATACACCGATGGGTGACCAGATAGCATGGAGCAAGCAAAGAAGTTGCCTTTAGATAATTTTAACCATCACTTAAAAGTGCCTCATATGCTGCATGCATCCAGTAAAAGTGGATTTCAATGTATACCACCCATTATATCCAAAAGTATCATAAGCCATCAAGGTAAACTGGAAAAAGAAAAATTAATAAAAACTAAGGTTGAAACAAAAGAGTGATCAAAGAAAACAAAGAGTGCTGTTTGGTTCCTTAATTTAGCTGGAGTTTGAAGTACATAACGTAAAAAGAAAACTGCAGTATATTATGATTTTAAGCTCTTAGTAAAGGGAATTATATAAAGTCCTCTATGAAAATAAGCTTTTCGTGTGATGTAACTCTGGCTGGAATTCATCATAATGATCTTTTTATAAGAGTTATAAAGTTTAGACCATGATATTATGAAAGGCATAAAATGCAACTCTTTTATGATAGCTTCTTATAAAATTCATGAATAAAATTAAATTTTAAAAGCTAGTAAAAGCATTTCTGCAGTGGATGGACAAGTAGTAGTCAAGAATTGAAAAATATGAGAGCAAGTAAAAATGATTGGCAGTAGATTTCCAGTTCATGGATACGCAGATTTGTTCCAGACAAGCGGTGTTTAACCATGTCGATAGCAGCAGACACGTTCTCTCAGTAATATACGAGCTGTCCTCTGGTGAGGGTGCCTTCCAGGGAAAGATTCCATGGAAACAGTGCCTTCCAAGGGGACCAGCTGGGTTTGTTAATTTCGAGGCAAAGAGGTCAGCTCAGAAGGTTTGGTGGTGGTGATTTGGGAAGGAGGTGGGGGCAAGGGATTCCAAGTAGGTAATCTTGACATATCAATTGTCTCAAAAGACACAGAGAGAGGACTTATGATGAGGAAGTTTAGAGAAAATTGAGAACTGCATTGCTGAGGGAAAGACAGGAAAACTCCACCAAGGAATTGTCTTCCATCATAATGATGTACCTCTTTGAGGGTAGCACGGGCTATCCAGTGAGAATTTTGTTGGGAAGCCTTACCCCATCCACACTACATCCCTCCTCTTGCCCTTTCAAACCACTTCTGGTTCTTAAAACTCCAAGAACACTTAAAAGGAATACAATTTGAAGCCCTTGTAGATGCTAAAACTGCCATTAGGAGTTGGTATAAATTATTGTCCAGGGAAAGGTTAGAGTTGGAAGCACCACCTTCAGAAGTATATAAGACTAAATGGCAGATGTGCTGAGAAATAACTTCATATTTTGATATTTTTGTTTAATAGAGATTTCTATTATTTTATATCAGTACTTTTTACTTACCTTTATATGTACTATGTACTATTTTCCACAGAATCTGAACTTGCCAAAATCTTCTAGAACAGTTGAACTATGTTTCAGTTGGCCCAAAGGTTTATTACTAGTGACTCAATGTGAAATAAAGGAAAATATGATTTAATTTTAGAGTAATAGAATAAAATGCTTCACTGTATTACCTAATATAATAATTCCTACCTCGACTGTTTCAGACTTTAATGTTCGGAAGTGAAAACTGTTTTCAGTTTGTCAACTTTAACAATCACCTTCAAACTTATTCTTGCCAATATTTTAAGATAATTGTTTTTGTCATGAATTGGCTAGTACAACATAAGTATTAGGGAATATCAAAACATTTGTGAAAAAATAGATTCAAAAGATAGTGGAATTTTATCTTCCTTTCACCCATAATTTTGGCTCTTTAAAAATGTGAAAGCCTTGTGGCTTGTTTTATTTTGTGTATTCTTTTGTTATTAACCAATTAAAATGAGAAAAAAAGGCTTTATAATAGATCATTTGTCCTTATTTTAAAACTTTCCTCAGGTGTTCACTATTTCCAAAGAATTGGTGGCTCGGGTACTATCCAAGGTGGTTGAAGCAGTTTCCGAAGAGCTCAGTCGACTGATGCAGTGTGTTTCATCCTTCAGCAAAAATGGAGCATTACAGGTACCCAAACCATTTGATTTCTACTAACCTTCTATTTGTATTGAAATAAAAATCTGGTTTCAGTCAACTATCTTACATACAGGCAAGTTTTGTTTTATTTTTTATAGACCTATTGATTTAGAGATCTATATTGTAATTTCTCTTGCATAAACCATACTCATTAACATTATTAGCAATTTCAAGAATATCGGTTTCTTTAAAGTGCAGTGAGACCTTAAATTGATCCCTCCTAATGTTTTATGGGTTTTTTTATTATTTTACAATTGCCTTCATGAAATTTAATTCCAATAAAGACATGTAATCGTTTCCTTTTCTAAAGTTCGCACGGAGAGTGACTAAAGGTGCCCTTGCATTCTATCCCATTAGTTTATGGACTAGTTACTTAACTTGCATAATGATCATTGCTCTTAGGTGCCATTGACTCGGTTCCAGCTCATTTCAACTTACGTAGAACAAACAAAATACTGCCTGCTCCTGCGCTGTAGTCAACATTTTTGTTATGTTTTAGCCCATTGTTGCAGCCATTGTGTCCATCCATCATGAGTGCCTTCCTCTTTTTACTCTGCCCTGCTACTTTCCCAGAGACTGCTCTCTCCTGATAGCAGGTCCAAGGAACACGAGACGAAGTCCTGCTCTCCGAGCTTCTAGGGAGCATTCTGGGTGTCCTTCCAAGACAGTCTATTTGTTCTGTTGGCAGTCCATGACACTTTAAATGTTCTTCACCAGCACCACCATTCAAATGTATCAGTTCTTCTTCCATCCTCCTTAGTCATGGTCCAACTTTCACATGTACATGGGGCAATGAAAAATACCATGACTTGGGTCTGGCTTACCTGAGTCCTCCAAATGTTGTTCTTGCTCCTTGGAACTGATGTGTAAGAGATTTACCCAGCACATGTCGTTTGATATCTTGATTGCTGCTTCCATGAACATTGATTGTAGATCCAAGCAAGATGAACCCTTGATAACATCTGTGTTTTCTCCATTTATCATAATGCTACCTATTGGCCCGGTTGTGAGGGTTTGATTTTCTTTACATTCATTGTTTTAATCCGTATCGAAGGCTGCAATCCTTGATCTTCATAAGCACATGCTTCAAGTCCTCCTCACTGTCAGCAAGCAAGATTGTTTCACTTGCATATCAAAGGTTATTAATACACTGTCTTCCAATACCGATGCGACATTCTTCTTCACATAGTCCAACTACTTAGATGATGCTCGGTGTACTGATTGAATAAGTATGGTGAGAGAATTAAGCCCTGAAACAAACCTTTCCTGATTTTAAACTTTGCACTATTTCCTTGGTCTGTTTGAATGATTGCCTCTTGTTCCATATCCGTGCAGGTTCTGCATGAGCACAATGAAACGTTCTGGAGTTCCCATTCTTGTCTATGCTATCCAGAGTTTGTTATGATCCATGCAGTCCAATGCGTTTGCATACTCAATGAAACACAAGTAAACATTTTTCTGGTAGTCCCGGTTTTTAGCCAAGATCCATCTGACATCAGCAATGATATCTCTCATTCTTTTTTTTAAAATCATTTTATTGAGGGCTTGTACAACTCTTATCACAATCCATGCATCCATTGTGCCAACCACATTTGTACATTTGTTGCCATCATCATTTTCAAAACATTTTCTTTCTACTTGAGCCCTTGGTATCGACTGCTCATTTTTTCGCTCCCTCCCCCACCTTTCTTCCCTCATGAACCCTTGATAATTTATAAATTATTATTTTTTCATGTCTTACACTTATGGATGTCTCCCTTCACCCACTTTTCTGTTGTCCATCCCCCTGGGAGGAGTTATATGTATATCATTCTAATCGATTCCCCCTTTCTTCCCCCACGTTCCTCTTACCCTCCTGGTATCGCTACTCTCAATATCGGTCCTGAGGAATTTGTCTGTCCTGGATTCCCTGTGTTTCCAGCTAGTATCTGTACCGTGTACATGCTCTGGTCTAGCTGGATTTGTAAGGTAGAATTGGAGTCAGGATAGTGAGGGGGAGGAAGCATGACCCATCTCAATAGAAAAGACAAAGTAATTTCAAGATGACCTATTTGCTAGAATTAGCACACAAGGATTTTAAAACTTCATGTACTACAATGTAAGGGGAATGTGCTCATAATTAAGGAAAAAAATAAATCTCAGAGGAGAAATAGAAGCACTAGACACAAGCTAACCGGAAGTACTGGAATGGAAGACACAGTATATGAGTCTCTAAAGTGCTGAATGGGAATAGCAACATGAAGATGATAATGGGAAAAGTCAGGGAACTTGAAGATAAATCAGTAGAAATAATCCAATTAGGGGAAGAAAAAGAGAGAGAGAAAAGAATAGATCAAATCTCAGGGACCAGTGGGACACTCTCTAAAGGTGACATGCTTGTCATTAGATTCCCAGAAGAGTAAGTGAAAAGTTGTGCAGAAGAAAAAAAAGATGCTTGAAAATCTGATGCCTCCTGTTCTCTCAAGTTGTTGAAAGACAGAAATGTACAGATACAAACCCTGGTGGCCCCATTGGGTATGCTGATCAGAAGTCTGTCAAACAAACCCACCAGCCACCCTGCAGGAGAACTAAAGGGCAGTCTAGTCCCATCACCAGGCGCAGTCTCCAAAACTCGGTGGAGCAAATACAAGAAGCTCAACAGAACCCACAAAGCATACATACAAATAGAAGTCGCTGTGCGCATATCCTGTTCAAACTGCTAAAAAGCGCAAAAGAGAAAATCTTGAAAGTGTCCAGGAAAAAAAAAAAGTCTTTTTCACAGGCTACTTACTGAGGTTGCAGTTGTTTTAATGGTTGCTGACTTCTCATTACGAACAACAAAGTCTGTAAGATAGCATTTCTTAGATTACAAGAACTGTTGAAGGAAGTTCTTTAGGCTGAATGGGAATGCTAACAAATGGAAACATCAACCATCAAGGTAAAATGAAGAGTTTCAAATGGGAAATAAAAAGGGCATTTCTTTTCTTCCTAATTCAAGAAGAGCACATAAGACTTTTAAAATAGAAGTTATAAGATTATCTAGTGGGATTTCAATTGTATGTAATGTAGAACATACCAACTGTAGTATCTCTCATGAGGAGAGATGAAATAGATTAATACAGTTATAATGTTTCTAAATTTTACATAAAGTGGTATATTAAATGTAAGTAGACTATAATATAATATAATTGCTAGAGTAGCACTGTCCAATAGAGCTTTCAGTGATAATGGAAATGTTCCACATATTTACATTGTCAATATGGGGATAGAACACTTGGAAATGTGCCTAGTCTAAATGTGAAATTGAATTTTATTTTATATTAATTTGATTAGCTCAAATATAACTAGCCACATGTGGTTGCTAGGTACCATATATGAGAATGCACATACTAGCGCAAACACTAAACACAATAATGTAAAGTATAGCTACAGAGCTGATAAAGCACAAATCTGAAACCTATAGAGACAGTAATTGGATTAATGGTTCCTTGTGGGTCTGGCAAAGGACAAAAGGGAGGAATGGGGAGCTGATTAAAATGAGAGTAAGAAAGAAGAAAATGTTTTTAAGTTGATTGTGATGATTGTACAACTTTTAATAAATATAGTTGGACTGTTGAATTGTATGATATGCAAATTATGTCAATAAAAATGTTAAATAAAAAAATTAAGTCTATTAAAATGTTTAAAAAAAGAAAGAAAGAAATTCCACAGGACCCAGCAATCCCTATGCTGGGTCTATATCCTAAAGAAGTAGGAGTTACAACACGAACAGATATACGCCCACCTGTTTTCATTGCAGCACTGTGCAGAATAGCAAGAAGATGGAAACATCTAAATTACCACAGTACAAAAATGGACAAACAGCTTTGCTGCATTACACGTGGAATACTATATATTGTGGGGGTTTTTTCCTTCTTTTTTTTAAAATCAATTTATTGGGGCTCATACAATTCATCACAATACATAGATCAATTGTGTAAAGCACATCTATACATTTGTTGCCCTCATCATTCCCAAAATTCGCTTGCCTCTTGGGTTCCCGGAATCAGCTCATTTTCCTTTTCGCCCCCTCACCCTCCCTTCTTCTGCCCCCCTCCCCCATGACCACCTTCCCCACATAAACGCTGAAGACGAATGTGTGCATAAGTAAGTGTGGTGAAGAAGGCTGATGGTGCCCGGCTATCGAGACCTATAGCGTCTGGGGACCTAGCGTCTGGGGACTTAAAGGCTTGAAAGTAAACAAGCGGCCATCTAGCCCAGAAGCAACAAAGCCCACATGGAAGCAGCACACCAACATGTATGATCATGAAGGGCCAAAGGGACCAGGCTTCAAACACCAAAGGCGGGGAGAAAAATCATATCCTCGTCAATGAGGGTGGTGCGTGATGGGGACCCAATGCCCATCTCTAGACAACTGGACATATCTTGCAGAAGGGTAGTGGGGAGATGAGTCACTTAGGGTTCAGTATAGCAATAATGAAACCCACAACCTTCCTCTAGTTCTTAAACGCTTCCTCCCCTCAACTACCAGGACCCCAATTCTGCCTTGTAGACCTGGCTAGACCAGATGATGCACAGCGGTACAGATGGGAATTGGAAACGCAGGGAATCTAGGACAGATGAACCCCTATATATTGTTTAAAAAAAATTTTTTTTTTGAAACTAAGAAGCACTTATGGCTAGTTCTGGAGAATATCATGCTGAGTGAAATTAGCACAAGCCAAATGACAAATGTTATATGAGACCACTGTTTTAAGGGTGGGGAGAAGATGACGATTTTCTTTCATTCCAAAGGGAGCAGACTTTGGAATTTGCCAAGACGAAGAAAGTAAGGGAGGGAAGATAAAATAATAGCCTAAACTATTGATGGATGTTGTGGCAGTTACATCATCTCCTGTCAACTTGAGCAAAGAGGTGGAGTCTAGCCTTTCAATCAGGTCATAGCCAATGATGCCTCTGTGAGGGCATGGCCTTCTCCTGGAAAAGGAGGAGCCACAGGGAGACCCACGCCAGCGCTGAGATGCTTCTACTGCCACTGGATCCACAAGACATTCCACCCACTGGCCTGATGAACCCCCTGTATCAAAAAAGTGACCCAGCCCAGTCCAATTCAGGTACATAAGTCCAATATTTGTTCTTATGTACCTCTTCAGACGCATGCAGGTACAGGCCTTGGTGAAAAATGCAGAGAGATCACAGGTCAGTAGGTTCAGAATCACTAGGATCCAACGTCAGTGGAAACATGACAGGGCTCCAGCAAGTCTCCAAGTGTCCAGCAAGCAGGAAGGTGGAACCGGAGAGGGAAAAGGAGATCCCCCTATGAGAAGGCCACACCCCTAAGGAGACAGCATCAGGCTGTGACCTGATTGACAGATCTGACTCCACCCTAGTCAGGAGTGTCTAGTTGACATAAAATCATCTAAGATCTTCCTCTTTGTCATTTTCCTGCGGCTTTACCGAGCGTGATAACCTTTCCTAGGGATTAATCTCTCCACGCTACACGGCCAAAGTGCATAAAATGAAGTTGAGCAATCCTCACTTCTAAAGAGCATTCGCACTCTACTTCTTCTAAGACACAGTTTCTTTGTTCTTTTGGCACTCCACAGTCCTGTCAGTATTCTTCACCATAGTTTACATACATCAATTCGTTTTCGGTCTTCCTTATACATTGTCCAGCCTTCCCATGCATCTGTGGTGACTGAAACTACCATGACTTCTGCGTCCAGCTTGAATTTCTGACAGCTCACTGTCATTGTATTCTGCAGCCATATTTTAATCATCTCAGCAAAAGTTTACTGACGTGATGTTAGTGATATTTTTGGAAATTTTTCCTATTTTGTTGGGTCATCTTTCTCTAGAATGGGTACAAATATATATCTCTCCCATTCAATAGGCCAGTTGGCTGCCTTCCACATTTCTTGGCATAGGCAAGTGAGAACTTCCAGCATTAGATCAGTTGTTGAAATATCCAAATTGGTATAATACCTTCAATGCAGATTGGACTTCTTCCTTCAGTACTATTAGTTGTTAATTATATTACTATCTCTTGAAATGGTTATCAACCAATTCTTTTTGATCCAGTGACTATATATTCCTTCCATCTTCTTTTAATGCTCCTTGCATTGTTCAATAACTTGCCCTTGGAATCCTTCAGTATTTCAACTTGAGGCTTAATTATTTTTTCTTTAACTCTTTCAACTTGTTTCTGCTGAGTGTGTTCTTCAATTTAGGATTTTAACCCTAGACCTTTGCATATTTCATCATAATACTTTATCTTCTCAGACTGCCCTTTGAAATTTTCTGTTCATCTCTTTTACTTCATCATTTCTTCCATTTGCTTTTGCTCTTCTACAGTCAAAGCAAATTTCAGTGTCTTCTGACATCTACTTTCGTCTTTTCTTGTTTCCTCTCTTTTTTATGGCCTTTTGCTTTCTTCATGTATGGTGTTCTTGATGTATGGTCTTCTGTCGGAGTGTTCAGTGAGTCAGATCTAGTCTTGAGATGTCCTTCAAATTCAGGTTGGATAGACTCAAGTTGTATTTTGGCTCTCATGGGTTTGCTTTAATTTTCTTTAGCTTTAACCTGAACATAAATTGCATCTGCGCAATGTATGGCCTGTGCTGTAGTCTTCCTATGGCCTTGTTTGGGCTACTGTCATGGATCTACTTTTCTCACAGATAGAGTCAATTTGATTACTCTCTATCCCATTTGGTGAAGTCCATGTGTTGTTGAAAAAGGTTTATGTTGTTGAGGTGTTTTCAAAAAAGACGTCAGACTTGCAAAATTTTATCCTACAATCTCCAACTTCATTTCTGTCACCACGGCCGTATTTTCCAGGAACACTGAAGAAGAATCCGTGCATTTTAATTATAGTACTGGCAAAAAATATTGAAAGTGGCAACCATGGATTGCCACAAGACCAAAACATACCTATCTCGGAAGAAGTACAGCTAGAATATTCCTTAAAGGAAAGGACGGTGAGGTTTTATCTCGTGTATTTTGGACATGTTGTCGGAAAGACCACTCCCTGGAAAAGGACGCCCTGCTTGGTAATGTAGAGGAGCAGCGAAACCGAAGTCCTGCATACGGGGAACTGACAGTGACTGCAGCAAGAGGCGCACACATAGGAGCGAGTGGAGGGGGCACAGGACTGGGCGGGGTGCTCTGTTGTACACAGGGTCACCGCGAGTTGGGACCAACTCAGTGACACTTAACAGCAACAATCCTTCCTCTTTGTTTCCAACTTTCACGTCTCTGTCACCAATAATTCTCAGTTCATCTTGATCACATGTTTGATAAATTTCAGACTGAAGAAATTGGTGTATTTCTTAAATTCCTTCATTCCTAGATGGTTGTGTAAATTTTGAATAAAATTTGTAATACCCGGGCTTTCTTGTAGGCACAAAGATATTAATTACCCTATCACATACAGCATTATACTTAAAGATAGATTTTTGTAATGTTCTTCTTAACCAAGGTGACATTATTCTTCTTGAATTTAGCATTCCTGACATAGTAACCTATGTGATTGTCTAACTCAAAAAGGCCAATAGCAGTACATTTCAGTTCACTAATGTCTAGGACATATATCTGTATACATTCCATGTCATTTTTGACAACTTCCAAATTTCCTACATTCATACTTTGTACATTCCAGTGGCAATTATTAATAGATGTTTGCAGCTGTGTCTTCTTTTTTGAGTCGTGTCCTATCAGCAACTGAAGGTCCCAAAAGCCCCAAGTGGATAACTGTAACAAACAGAAACTATTTTCTCATAATTTAGGCTGGAAATCTGAACTCCGAGCACTTGCTCCGGTTTCACTCTCCACCCACCCGCTCTGGAAGAATGCCCTTGTTCCTTTGAGCTTCTCTTCTGGGCTGCCTTCATGTGACCTGACTTTTCCCTTTCTCCACCTCTCCTTCTCTCATCTACATTTCTTTTATATCTCAGAAGATTTTGATTTAAGAACACTGGCCACTAATCCTGTCTCCTTAACAAAACAAAGACACCTTTTCCCAAAAGAGATTTTCACCACATGAAATAGACACAGTTCAACACATAACAGACAACCGCGTTAAAAATCAGTTGACCATAAATATGAGGGTTTAATTCTACTCTGTTGTTCTCATCTATCCATATACCAGTACCACATAATCTTCATTTACTGTAAGGTAAACCTTTAAATTGGGAAGTGTGAGTCTGTCCATTTGGTGGTTCTCTTTCAAGATTTTTTTTTTTAACTAGGCCAGGCACCTTGCATTTCCACATAAAATTTTGTTTGACTTGTCACTTTCTACAAAAATGCCGGCTGTGATTCTTATAACTATTGTATTGAATATGTAGAACTGTAGCTTTCAAGATTAGTCAGTGGACTTGAGTGGTCATACCTGCGAGGCAATAAGCCAGTGAGAACATTGACGTTGAGAGGGGTTAATTAACACAGGGTGTTGTTTCCGAGGCCCTGCTCTTTCACCACCAAGCTAGAGAAGAGGTACTGGTTCGATGAGAAATATAAACTGCTAAAAAATAATTTCATAGTTTGTACCTTTCCTAACAAGACACTTAGCTCCCGACTTCACATAAGCACATACTAGACTACAAGTTAATTTTCAGCAAAAGGTAGTTCTACCACTACTCACTTTTTCAGACTGTCTTAGGGAGCCTGTTCATAATTAATTGTAACCTATGTTACAACCTATGTTGATTGACTTCCTATAACTTCAGAACTGTGCCAAGGTTGACCTTGCAGCAAGACTGGAGACTGCAGGGCCACACTATTGTTTTTATTCAATATGGAAACATTTCCCAATTGTCACTTTTGTCCTTTTGCTTTTAGGCAAGGCTTGAAATCTGTGCCTTAAGGGACACTGTGGCCATTTATCTGACACCTGAAAGCAAGTAAGTACCTAAGTGTTCATGTTTCATTGTAGGAAATTCTTGGTCAACATCAAGATAAATGATCCAACTTTTCTGATGTGATGAAGTTTATATATGATTGGTCATATATTTTTCAACATAAACTCACAGTAAGCCAAGAACTCTCAGGGTTGTTTCTTTGGTAGCACAAAGTAAAAGAAGTAAGGTGCAATATAAATTTTACACTTTTATTAACTATTGATAAAACTTAATCTCACAAATGATTTAGCAAAGCATTATTTACTTCCACAGATTAGGAGAAAGGCAAAATTAAGTCTTAATCTGTCCATAACAGAGTCTGAAGGACAGATCAAGTGTTGTAAATATCAGCATAAGAGGAAGCCTTGTGGTTTGTCTGCGAAATTTTGTAGTGGAAACTTGATGATAATTTTGAGCTGTTTTGAATGAAAGTCAGGATTTCCTATCATAGAAATATCAGTAGGTGAACTGAAACAGCCCTAACTACTTACTATACAAAATATTTTACTCTATTAACAATATTACCCAGGAAATATTAGATTGTTGTTTTGTGCCTGAGGAGCCAAACAGTATACCATCACATATTGGAGAGCACTTTGTGCAATAGACATATTCAGTCACTTCCAGTATCTGATGACATGACTTCTGCCATCATCTTGACTGTTAATCATTACAACAGGAAAGACATTTCATGTTCTTTCCTAACCAGAGAAGTGGGCTTCTCTTTTTTTCTCACCGTGGTAACCAGAAGCCATTTTCTGGTTATCTGCTATTTCTAGGTGTCTACCATTTTATTTAGTCATATCTTTTCCCACAACACACAGAAGCTAGGAATAGTGGAAGCTAGGAGTACAGATTCATATATGATGTATGTGCATACTTTGTGTGAGTACTTAGAAGTGATTAAATGAAAAATATGTGAAAGTACTTTCTAAAGGGCAGTACACGCCAAATGAATGATGACAAAATCATCACCATTCTTATCTTTGTTATTGATGAATAAATAACAACAGCATCACATTTCATTTGATTCATTAAGAAAAGTAATACATAAAACAAGATAATGGTAGCGATAAAATATGTGAGTTCCCTCTCCATCAGGAAAGAGGACAAGCAATTTAATACTGGGAAAGGAAACGTAACTGGCCAACAAGCTATAGACTGCGCCCCAGACGTGCTGCACCGTATCTGTGACCTGTTGGAACTTTCACGTCTCTCTCTACGTTACCGTGACGCCTGCCCAGTATTTTGAGAAACACTAATCAAAATCTATTGCTTAGTACATTGTTGAAGATTTTTTTAAAACAAAATCAAATTTCTTCCAAATCAAAAAGTCGAGAATGATTGCATTGACTTCTTCCCGTTAGTCAGCCAGTCCTAAAAGAAGAAGAGCTAAGAAATTAAGAACGCTCCCTTAGAGAGCAGTAGATGATTACCACATACTCAGCTCATTGTCATTTTGATTTGGCTCAGTAATTGGTCTGGTACTTCCTACTTGCAAGTTAAATATGCCAAATTGGTGACATTTTTTGTGTACTTTTTCCTTTGTCGTGTAAATTAATAGTTGATCTCTCCATTTTCCTATAGTTTTTAAGTAAACAAGAACTAAAACCTGTATAGACCATACTCATTTATGACATATATTTACTGAAAATCAAGCCCTGTAGCTATCAATACTATGAATATCCCAATTTGTATAATCTTTCACAATAGTGTCTATTTCCATTTAAACTCAACTTTCCCAATGTCCTATTTATTGTTGTTACAGGTGTAATTCATTTATTTGTTGAAAAAGAACTTTTTTTTCATATGTAAACCTTTTCCCAATAAGCTCTCATATAGCAAAGGAACATCATCCTTTGGGTAATCAGTTTCTCCTCAACTTTCAAGTACGTTTCATTTCCTAGTTTAGTTTTTCTGGCCCTATTACAAAGCTTCCATCTAGTAACTAACCGTTTACTTTTACTTTTACTTTTTCTGTTGTTTTCACTTTTACTTTTTCTCATATTTCTACTTGATTCACTGGTTCATATTGATGTTTACATTGAAATATGCTTAAACTGACCCTCTGAGTTAGAACTTAGAACCCTTAGAACTCTGAAATGTTTCAGCCTTCCTGTTAATGTTTATTTCCATCCAGGTCTAGTTTTAAGCAAGCTTTGGAAGTTCTGCCTCAACTCTCAAGTGGAACAGATAAAAAGTAAGTTCAAAATTCCGTCTCATGTTCCATTGGTTAATTTTTGGTAACCTTTTCAAATTTTTTTTAGCAGTTTGGATTTAAAAGACAATCATTACTGAACATTACATGCTCTGTTAGCTTGACTTTCCCTGGGAGAGTGCTGAGTGACAGCATGGCTGCAATCTTTCTTCCGGGTGTACGAAATGGACTCGTTCTTATTTAAAGGGAGTAGTACAAACAAGTCGAAGGACACACAGTAAGTCCTAGTCACGTATGCTTTTGAGAACAGAATAGAAAGTATGAGAAGAGGATGTCCTAATAAGGTGCGTGATGGGGGCAGGGGGTTGTTTTTCTTGTGGTTTTATTTTTTTCTTTCTTCATTGAATAGCTTGCAATGTAAAATGACGTGTGTGCTCTATGAGATATGAAGTAGTTAAAAAGAATAGACTGCTCTACATAGGTACCACTACATTAGGGACCCAGCCTTCGTTGAAACTTGACCACTCGCTGCTGCACAGAGTGGAAATTCTGGCATGAGCAAGTCTAGACAATCAGGTGTCCTCAGTGCCTGCCTTCTACAGGGGACAGAGTCATTGCAGATGTATGCTTCTGCAGCTGAGCCCACCCCCTTTTATCTGGTTGATCAGTCAACACACAAGTTCTATGTTGCCCTTGTTATGTGATGGCCGCTGTGCTGGACTCTGTGAAGGATTCAATAAAATGTCAGCTCTGGTCCCAGTCATCAAAGAGTGAGTGGTCTAGTTATAGAAATAATAAGCACACTTTTGAAGAAGCAAATAAACAGTGTCATGTAATTCCAAATTTGTGCTGAATTCAGGACATAACAAAGAGACTGTTGTAGAAACCCTGAGAGATCGAGTTGGGCCGGGTTGTAGTAATGCACCAGAACTAGCACAGAGTAGTGAGGCTTGCACAAAGCAGTTGAGGGTTGATCAGCACACAGGACCGCTTCTTTGTATGTTCCTAGTGTAGGCCTTGTCTCGGTTCCAGATGAGCTAGTGGGTAGATATACAGACAATCTGTACTTCTGTGTTCTGCTTTGTTCTCATGTCGCTAAATTTCAGTCTCTCTGAGTCAGTTATAGACCTTGTTCATTTTGTTAAAATAAATACAGTAAAATAAATAAATAAAAGTAAAGATGAACATAATTACCATTATTTTATGCTGTTTTCATATTGAACATTGTTAGAACGTGAAAGACTCTTTGGAGCCCAATTTCAGTAAAGATAATAGAGGTAGGGCTCCATCCTTCTATGCGTGGTCTGTACTCTGGTGCATGTTGCTCTCAGGCTACAAGCTAAGCCACTGGTATTTCAAATGCCAGCAAGGTACATCGTTGGTACATGGTACATGTTACATGGTACATCGATGGTACATCGTTTCCAGCAGAATTTCCAGACTAGGGCAAGCTAGGAAGAAGAAAAAGGCAGTCCACTCTTTGAGAGGGATCTGCCACTGGAAACCTTAAAACCCGCCACAGAACAGTGTCTGATAACAGTGCTGGAAGATGAGCCTGTCGAGGGGAAGACTCCGACTCAGCACTGTTCTCCACCATGACTGCGCTGTGAGACCTAACAGCAGCAGCAGGGCCAGTCGTTGTTTTAAGGTGCTAGACCCCTAGGGGATACCTGGCCCCCACCCCTCGGTCCCCCAAAAGACCGCTCTGATAGCCACATAGGGCTTTCTTCTTCGGGAAGTGCATGTTACCGTAGTCGGAGCCCCACTGTTGGTCCTTGGTAAGTTCATGTGGGCCTTACAAGCCTTCCACTCTCACACAATGTCGCATACCGGTTAGGGAAACGTTGTAGCCATCAAGTAGGAAACATGACTGCCCAGTGGAGTTAGTGATTCTTTGGGTGTCTAGGATGGTAGTTCACGGCTCTCCAAGGTTTGTTCAAGACAAAAACGGGAAAACTAAAGGTGTAGAAAATAGATCCGTGATTACTGGGGACCGGAGGCTAGGATTTGTAGGGAGGCGTTCACTAAAAAGGGCAGCACAAAGGAATTCAGCAGGGGGGTGGGGGTCGATGGAACTGTTCCACATCTTGATTTTCATCATAAAGCTTTCTATGTTTGTCATCATTCGTAGAACTGTACACCAGGAGGAGTGGATTTCAGGACATGGCCAAAGGAGGCTTGGTAGCTAGTGGGCTATGCAGTGAGCTGCTCCATGGGAGGAAGATGAGACTTTCTACTCCCATGAATATTTACAGCTTAGAAACCCGAAGGGACCGTTCTACTCTGTCATATAGGGTCTCTGAGACAGAATCGACTCCGTGGCCGTGAGTTAGTTACATTTTGAAACAGCAAACAAAAAATGTAGGGTTAAATATTGTAGTGTGTCATAGGAAGACACCTTTTAAATACATTATTTTATTAACTTCGGTCACTGGGTTAAAAATTCATAAAGAATAACCTTTTCAGCTACCATCTAAAAACAGCAAGGTGAAGTCAGGGCTCAGTATCTTGCTCCACTGAACGTCTCTTACATTTTTAGCAACCTTCCTTCTCTTGGCTTCTAAAAGACTCCTCCTCCTCCTCCACAGGTTACTTGAAGAGCTTCTGAACAAGTTCAAGAGTAGCATGCACGTACAGCTCACCTGTTTCCACGCTGCCTCTTCCACCATGATGAAGACATAGATGTCTGCAAAACAAGAGCGGTCCAGAAAAATAAGGATAATAAAACGATTAATGTTCGTAAATGCCCTGAAGATACTTGTATATAAAATACAGAGTTTGTGGTGCTTTTTTGTGTTGGTGTGGTTTGGGTTTTTTTTACCCAATGGGCAGCTTAGAGAAATGTGGGATATGTTTTCTTTTAGCCAAAAATGACCTTATTTCAAATGCCCATCATATTTACATTGTGATCTCTATTGAATTGGGTTTTGCATGACTGTTGGGAGCATCTTTTAAAGCTCTCTGTGCCTCTTGCCTCTGTGTGTGCAGCGAATGCTGCAGGAGAGCCATGGTGCTGGCAGTGTTTGGGCGTGGCTCCTGTTTTCTGAGGATGGCAGGTTGTCTCAAAGGCTCCAGTCAAGAACTGCTCCTGTCGGAACAGCTGTCCAGGGCACGTGAGAGATTAATAAGCAAAGATTTGGAAAGTTAGATAGGTGCGTCTTTGAGGCTTTCACTGCTCTTGTGGAACTGTGCTTAGAACTTTGTTTCATGAAAATGGCTTGGATCCAAGTAGGTTTTTGGTGAGGAAAAAAAAAAGTCTGATCTGCATTAAAATGTATTTGGGGTGGATGCTTTCTTATCCAGTCCATGAATCTTCCATTTTTGACTAGTTTTTAGTTTTACAATGGTTAACAGTAGCTTCTCCATGTAGCTTGGGGGGGGTTTCTCGTTTCCCTCTGTGTTTGCCCTGTGCCGCTGCACACTGCTCACTGCTGCGTCGGGATGGCTTCGAAAGAAGAAACCACGTGCTGGCACGGGACGCACACCCTGGTCATTGCCGCCCCTTGCACAGCGACTGGCTCCTCCCTCCACAGTTTCACGTCTCATCATTACTTCGTTCTCTTCGGAACAGTTTGTCCAATAGCTCGGAGAATGCCGGCCTGCACTGCCTGAGTTTTCTGAACTTTGAAGGAAGCGCTTCACCACTGGGCAGGACCAGCTACAACCAAGCCCTGTGCTGTGTGTCCTCTGTGCACTGTTGACTGCGGCCTTGGGAGCTGGCTCAGGTCAGCGTGACCTCACAGCATGACTTTCCCCGACCAAATGCTGCAGAAATACCATGTGCTGCAGAAAATTAAGCAATTCTCCGTTTGTATTCTGCTTGTCAAAGTTTTCAAATGAACGTGGATGCCAGAGACTCCTTTTTTAATACTGAAGTTAATGTCTTTACCAATACAATCATATTAGAACACAGAAAGCCATGCATGCTAACATTAGTCACTGTAAGTCAATCTTGTTTGTTAATTTAGTGCATGCGGGGTGGTGCAAACTGGAAATGTAAATTTTCGTATTTACTGATCGGTTGACTGGGCAAGAGAGGGGCTCTGCCTCTCCTACGTGTCAACCAGTATGCGCTCACGTGGCTTTGAGTGGGGCTATAAAACTGCATCCTGAATGTTTTTGTTATCTTCATTATCGAATTCATAGCATGGAACCAATAAAGATTCTGTCTTCAGTAGAAAATAGAATTGAGTGAACTTTTTCTCCAACTGCCTTTATTTCAACTTTGTTTTGTCAGCATTGCACGTATCAGTTTTTAACTATCAAATATTTAAATTTGCTTGACCCTCTGTTTGCCTGGTCATCTGCAGAAACCATTTGTCACTGTCCTGCTAATTCCCTCTTGATGCCAGACATCCTGGGGCTCAGTGGTTAAACACTCTGCTAACTGGAAGGTTGGTCATTTAAACCAACTGTTCCATCGACTTAAAGAAGAAAACAACTCACGCTACCAAGAGAAAGATGTGACTGGGTGCTTCCATAAGAATGACACCCTTGGGAACCATACAGAGCAGCTCTACTTTATCCTAGAGGGTCCCTGTGAGAAACAAAGTCAGTGACCCTCATATAAGTATAAGAAGGAACTTTATATCAAGAAGTAAGTTGTTCAAGAAAGCATCCCAACCCAATCCAACTCATCTGTGGGTCCATTGTTAGCCGGAGCCCTCTTTAGCCTCACGTGATGCGGAGCAGTGAAGCTAGACACAGAGGGACTACAGGCCGGCAGGTGCAGAGGCGTGGGGAGCCAAGGTCAATGGAAACATGGCAGGGCATCCACAGCTCTCGGGGTCAGGCTGCCCAAACGCGGCAGCCCCTCGAGGCAGGCAGAGGGAGAAGTTCCCAGTGTCTCCCCTATAAAAAGCCCACAGCTGTAAGGTGGCACCATCAGGCTGTGACTAGGTGGGCAGTTTGGATTCCATGTCTACACTGACATACAAATTCAAGTTAAATGAACATCTAATTGCTACTGCTGTTCTGTGCTGGATTTCATATCAGATTATCTCATGTAATCTTCACAAGAGCGTTTGGACAACGTTAGGAGCTAGATAACCCCATGTCCATTTCACAGACGAGTGTGTTGGAGCTCTGTCCACACGGTGTCTGACTGTCACTAACGCAGACTGCACAGCTCTGCCGCCCCATCCCAGTGATGCAGGTCCGGTGAAACATGCCAGAGGACGAGAACCAAACTCGCTGCGGTTGACTCATTTCGGACTCGCGGCAATCCTATCGGACAGTGTAGAACTGCCCCCCCCCCCCACAGTAGCCAACACCTAACCTGCGGGAGTACAGACTTTTCTCTTTCCCCTGGTGCCTTCATATTGCTAACCTTTTATGAGCAGACCAGTAACATAAACACTGTGCTACCTGGGCACATTACGTGCCTTTGAGGCCCCTGAGTGGAGCTATAGGGCGTCAGCACTCCTTATCCAAATGAGGTGGTTCAAGACCGCATTTTCAACGAGTCCAGGGATGTTTGGGGAGAAAGGGGGGGGGGGGGACTTCAACAACTTCTTTTATTACTAAAGACATGTTCTGTAGTTAAGAGAAGCAGGTGAATATTATTTAGGTTGGGCGAAAGCTGAGTGCTCTAGGAGGACTTTGAACAAGTCTATGGAGGTAGCCCAGCAAAAGATGAAGGTATTCTCAACTTGGCTTAGCACATCCATGTTTGTGGGGGTCAGACTGGCCTCATGTCACTTAGCTAACCCTTCCCTTTAAATGCACAAAAGAGTATTAGCTAGTAGTTTGGTTTTACTAAGACTTTCTGTATCAGTGTACTATGAAAGTGGCATGTTCTAGAAATGACTCGGACGTTAAAAACAAGTATCGTTACTGGAGGCCCCGTTCACTGAGTCACTCCGCTCTTGTCATCCCATTTGCAATTTCTTAAAAGCAGAAAATATGCTTCAATGTGTGTGGGCATATGAAACCCAGGATGGAGGAGCCTATAGGAACAGCAAGGGTAATAAGGGTTTCAGGGAGGTGGGGTTTAAGTGGGGGGGCGGTGTAAAAGGGAGAAAATGTCAAGGAGTCCAGGAAGATAATGTTTGGAAACTGGTATCAATTGTACAATTCTGTGTGATGTGATTGGACTATGGAGTGATATGCTATATGCATTAGCGCCCAATAACTTTTTCAATGTTCAGTCTAGATTTGGGATGAAGTAGCAACGTGTGCTTCTGTTTTCATGCACCGTGGCACATTGTCCTGCTGTTGCCACCATCAAGTCGATTCCAACCCAGAGACCCCTGTAGGACGGAGTCGGACTGCTCCTGTGAGCTTCCGAGGCGTAAATCTTCATGGGAGTAGAAAGCCTCATCTTTCACTCCTGGGGGGCTGGTGGGTTTGAATTGCGTGACTTCCAAGTCTCCTGTTTTTCATTCGTTTATAACCTTAAACCATTACTGACTTTAAGGTGTTCAGCATAAAGCCCAATTTGTGCTTTTTTAAAAATCATTTTATTGGGGGCTCGTACAGCTCTTATCACAGTTCATACATGCGTACATCGTGTCAAGCACATTTGTACATTTGTTGCCATCATTCTCAAAACATTTGCTCTCCACTTAGGCCCTTGGCATCAGGTTCTCATTTTTCCCCTCCCTCCTCAGTCCCCCCTCCCTCATGAACCCTGAATAATTTACAAGTTATTATTATTTTATCATATCTTACACTGTCCAATGTCTCCCTTCACCCACTTTTCTGTTGTCTGTCCCCAGGGAGGAGGTTATATGTAGATCCTTGTAAT